AGATAAGCAGCACAATGTTTAACCCATACCCTGCATTTCTGCTTATGAATTTTTGGTTTTGGAGAGAGCGAAAAAAACGGATGCTAAGCTACTAAACAGATGCACTGAACGGCCAATTAGTCACTGAAAGTCATTAGGAATCTGAATCTAGTTTCTATTAGGGTAAAAGTACCTGCGGAGATTTTAACAATTAATCAAAATCTCTGTGGTGGGAGCTTCTTCTTTGAAACCTGAGTGAAAACTGTTTGAAGACTCATACAGCACTGACAACATGCAATCTATTTAAAACCCGCTATCATTGTGTGTGTTACTTGTGTGTGTAAGTGTATGTGTCACATCGCCCTTGGACATGGGCTTGAGGAATGTGTTGAGAGGAAGGCAAAACACTGGGTTGCCACAGCAACTACCCAAGGCCGGGGGAAACAGATGGGGGGGTGTCATCAGGAGACGAGGTGAAAGAAAAAAAAAAAAAGAGTGTGACAGAAGGAGTTGAATATATTGTAAGAGAGAAAGAAAGGGTGAGAGAGAGAGAGAGCGAGCTAAAGAGAGGATGCAAGCCAAAATGGGAGGAAGGAGAGTGAAAAAAGAGTGGGGGTTAATTTAAAGAATCTATAATACATTTAACATTAGCATAATCCACAGTTGCAAAAAATCCGTAATTTTTTTTTGAATGTATGAATAGGTGTCCCACTTTGGAGCTATTTTCCCCATCTTTTATTGGTGTGAGTAGGATGTCTCAAAGTCTTCTGGTTACTTTGAGGGGAAGTCAAATGTAGAGTGTAGTTTAAACACAGCTCAGTCTGGCCTGTTTCTGCTTCTTGTCCACTGTCACATTCCCTCCATTCTCTCTTAAATAATCAGCTTTCTTCCTCTTTCCCTCCTATTCTTTTTGCCTTTCCTGTCAACCACAATATGTCTCTCTTCTTTAGCTCTGTCTTTTATTTTTCCCTGACACCATTTTGTCATCCTTCACCTTTATACTTAGTCCTGAAACATATTTTTTCAACTGTAACTAGTTACTACACTAAACAATTCCTTTTTTTTTTATTAACAGTGTCTATTATACTAGAATACTATTAACTGTACCCTCCCAACCCAACTGTTGACCAACGATAGAGCTAAAGATTATGGTGTTAAGTAAACTGAAAACATAATATACAACATAAATCAGTTCACTTTCAAATTCTGAGTCAGTTTCCCTAACATTCCTCGCCTCTGCTGAGTGTTTTCTCCATAGCAACAGCATGCGAGGCTCATGGATTCGGAAAATATTGAGACCCATCTGCTAAAATGTCAGACGAAAAAAAAATTCCCAGACACAAAAAGGAAACTGGTCGCCATATAACATAAACCCATAGGATTGTTACATTAACTGTCAGAGTCCCCTTATTAAAAAATGGGAATACAGAATGAGGAGAAATACGTGAGGAAACCAGTGGCCCCTTCATCTCAACTCTATAATCGCAATGTGAAGGTGCAAACAAAACCCAAATGTAAACTCAGTATTTTTCTCCTGTTAGCTAACTTACCAGGTTTAGCTAGCTAACCAGTTTCAGCGCCAAGGAAAACTGCTGATGAGAGGAACTGCTGCACAGCTCAACACCTCTGATTAATGTGGCTGTGCACCCCGGAGTGAGAAAAGTTGTGATTTTGATGTGTAAAGTCAACTTTGAACAGTACATGTATATATTTTCCTTTATCCATGTTCTGGTGTAGTAATAAAAAAGCCACTATAATAACTCTGTGTAGCCCAAATGTGTGAAATACACACATTCGTTTTTTTCTCACTTTACTTCCATCCTTTTCACACTGTGACCACTCTCAGTGATATAATTCCATGTCTTTTATAAAGTTAGATCTAATGCTAGATCTCAGTGTGGGTCACTCCCATCAAATGGTTATGCAGCTCATTCTCTCACTCAGAACAGAAGGATATATGCATGCAGGAGGAGAGGGGAGGGGATGAGGCACATAACCTCTGACACATCTCCCATGAACACCTCATCAACTCACACACAGTGCGTTTTTTTTCTAAATGACTCTATAGCAACAGTAATCTGTCATGCCTCTGGCCCTTCCCTTCACCTCTGACTAGAAATGCAATACCAAGATATATTAAACGCAAACACATACACAAAAGGCAAGCACGCGCGCACACACACACACAGATATCATATCCTAATCAATAGGTGTACTGTTATTTCAGCCCTCTACTCTGAGTATCAATAGCTTCGTTGTGATTAAAAATATACTGTGCCTTTGGATAAGGTTAAAGCCAATGACACGTGTCTGTTAGTGTGGGTGTTTGTTAGTGTGGGTGTTTGTTAGTGTGTGTGTGTGTGTGTGTGTGTGTGTGTGTGTGTGTGTGTGTGTGTGTGTGTGTGAGAGAGAGAGAGAGAGAGAGAGAGAGAGAGAAATTTGGAGCCTCTTTTTCTCTGATATTCAAGAAAACTGGCTAAACAAGACCAACCTGTGACTGTTAGTCAGGTGAACGCTGCATTCACAGAAGTATCCAACTTGATCAAGACTCATCACATCATCATTAGAGCTGGGTTGAAAAGATTGATTTTCTAATTCAAATTGATCTTCATTTGAATAATCCAACATCGATGCATAAAATCCCGAGATTGATCTTTTAATATATGCTTTTTCTATGGCCTTTTCCTGTGGATGTGTGGAGCTGTAACCCTGTTAGACCTACGTGATCAGCCTCTTTGCGCAAAGAGATCTTGCCATGTGACAGATAAAAACATGGTAGACACAGCTCTAATGAAGGCAACAGCAAGAATGGTTGCATTTTAGATTTAAAAACTATGAAAACAGCATTGTTGGGCAAAACATCACCACAAGTCTGTTTATGTTGGCTGCTGGCTTCATATTGAAAAGTGGTAGAAACATTTAGCATATTCATAACTTGACAACTCCAGTGGCCTGAATTATGAGAAGTCTGGGATGTAAAACTGATGCACAGGCCAGGATAGATTGATATAATGCAACACTGTGTGTTCATCACAGTTACAGATCTAATTAACCTCTTCCCATTGCTCCGTATTGAGATAGAGCTGATGCTCTTCTGTGGATTAGACTCATAATTCTCAATTAGCGTATCATATATTGAACTTGTGTGCTTTAGGATTTAAAGGACTTAGAAGCATAACTAATTTAGATTGGCATGAGGGAATTTTGGCACGAGCATGACAGGGTTAGTTGGCAGCCATTCCCATTAACAACCGAATCAGTGCTGATGTAGACAGTTTAATAAATAAAGGACCCAAGGGTGATGAAGAGCCGACACTCAATAACAAAGTCAAAGTAGCTGCTCATGTTGAAGCCCAGCAAGGGGGAAAAGACTGTATAAATTATGCATTGTATAAATCATAAAGACCTTTAAATGTGACATAAAATCATTTGATAAAGTAATATTTTCAGAAAAGCATTCATCTCCTTTGCAACTTCAGTGACAGGGACGATACGTTTTCTGATTCTGTTTCATGTCTTCAATAAAAATAAAGTGTCACCATCACTGCATTTACTTTACTCTCCACACGTATCTTCTTACAAAATGTTCTACAAAGCATCTGAAAACGATCAATATGTTGCTGTTACTGCTGTGGATCGTAGTTTCTGCCTGAAAAATTCATGGTAAGCAACAAAAGAAACTCAGTGCTTTTCTCCTGAAACACAGCAGCACAATTTACATGTTTAACCAGTCAAAACTTCTAAGGTGGGGATCCATTGACATGAATCTGTTAATTCAAATCTAATAGCAAAGTATTAGACTGATTTTATAGAAAATGAGCACTAGTTGTGATAAGCACAAATGTTTCACTGTAACTTCTGATGCATAAAAAACAGTCTGTATCATTTCTTCATCAATGTGGGCGGAAAATGCTAATGCTGTGAAGATCTCACACCATCCTTCAGCTCTCCACAACTAACTAACTGTAACACCAGCTGTAACATGAACAACACCTTCCACCTACAGTACACTGCACGGTTATTGTACATATGTACACATGGGTCACAAATTAAAGGGAAACATGGAAGAACCAAGTAAGGGCCACTATGTGCCACCAGAACAGCTTCAGTGCACCTTGGAAATTGATTCTACAATTCTCTGGAGGAATGAACACCACTCTTCTTTGATGGTGGTGGAGAGCACTTACACTTCGGTCCAAAATCTCCCATAAGTGTTCAATTGGGTTGAGATCTGATGACTGTGAAGGCCATAACATATGATTCCCATCATTTTCACACTCATCAAACCATTCAGTGACCCCTCATGCCCTGTTGATGGGGGCACTGCCATCCTGTTTCTACACTCATATTTCGGGTTTGTCTCCTGTCTGTGCCCTGCACATACCCACTGCATGGACAAGCTAATGTGCATTTTAACTACAGTATTCTGCTGCATTGACCATGACAGATTCACTACAATTATAGTGACCCAATCAACATAATGTGATATTCTGTCGATCTCCGTAACGAGATGTATTTTTTCCCCAGGAGGTCAGAGCAAGGACCTGTAGCTGGAGGAGATTGGTTTCTTGCTCAGAGATACTTTGTCAAGGCCAGTGCAAGAGCTGGACTCCTGGTGCTTTGGTTGAAAGACAGTAACTCTGTGTAAAGCACACGGTGCCCTCTCCCTGAACTCCATCAGTTGTTATGGCATCTATCCAGTGGCTACTTGCTGCATTCAGGGACTGGAAGCTGAGCATTTGGAGCATTAGCTCAGTGGGTCATGCCGAGTGACATCTTCAATTAGCCTTATTCAGTTCACAGTTTTGGACTTGAGACTATAAACAATCTTGAGACATGTCCATCTGTGACAGTCTTGTTTCTGCCACATTTGAGTGTGACTGTATGTCATGAATTTGGTGATAATATTTGGAAAATGAATTGCACTGTACTGCACTGTATATGTCACTGTATGTGTATGTCATTCCAGTGTATGTGTGAGGCGGGCGTGTTTATAAAGCGTGTGGTCAACAAGTGCTGACCTTGCGTTCTTTGTCTCCATACTCCAGGCCCAGTGTATCCATGGCACGGACGATGGCAGCCAGAGATTGGATGGTGTTGCTGTAAACGACAGGCTTGTACTGCTTTACGTCGTCACCAGAGAAACCGTCCTCATGGATGATCCTAAACACACACAAATGCACACACATTAATCAATGGGTCAAGTACTTCGTGATTTTCTTTTTTTTTGTTCACACACAAAATAATATTGTAAAAATCCATTACATACTACTTATAGTACTTACTGGATTATTATTATATAGTATGTCATGAACAGAAAAGTCTGTATAGCCAAGTGTGCTAACCTGAAAATAGAGTAGGTATAGATACCAAATGTACTCATGTGTGTTGGGATATATTAAAAGGGTTGGGTAAATCAAGGCGGTGTTGGAAGAATGGAGGTGGGAGGTGAGAGAGAAACACAGGTGGTTGAAGGAGGGTTACAACAAAAACACAAAAGAAAGAGAGCAGGAAAGGAGGGAGGGAGGGAGGGTGGGTCCATAACCAGTAGGCTAAGCTGACATTTAGGAACAGAGTTCTAGCGGCAGCCTATCCTGCTGTTTTAAATGTCATGCTATCTTTCACTGCAGCTAACGCAAGGACACACCAGCAGACAGACTCAAAGACAGTTACACAGTTAAGCAGGCAGACAGATTGCACAGACGGACAAATCAGACAAAGTCAAACAGAGAGAAATGACAGAGAGATGGGCAGCCAAGAACAATACACAGGACACCAGAAAACAATTGCCTGATACACACAGACAGATACAGGTTGGGGCAACACTGTGAGGCAATTCAAATAGACAAAAAACCCACACATAAATGATTCAGGGTGAACAAGCCTTCTGTATAGAAAGGACTAAGGATCAAACACAGCTCCTTCTTGAAACAAATATATGCATCGCTATCACACTTACATTTATCTAGCTCTGTATCTATCACTAATTCTCCTGCATAAATGCCTCTCACTGTGGCTCTTCCCTCCTGAAACCTCCTGACACACCATAGAGATTAGCTGATGGGCACATCACCAACTCATCTCTATGTTGAAAGAAATATTGTTTTACCTCTCTGCCTATTACACATAAGCTAGACAGCCAATCACCCATCTAGATCTTAAAAAGAGCAAGCTTACTGACTTGATGCTAATGAGCTAGTGCCAAAGCTCTTCTGTCAGCACCATAAAAGTACCATGTTTTGACACCCAGCTTTACTTTTGAACAGACTAATCCAAAGAGTCACAGAGTCAGCCTTTCAAAAAGCTGAAATTTAGAAGTTAGCTATTCAGAGAAGTTTAGGACATGAGTGGAACTAAGAAGAAGCACAAGGCTCGTTCCAACACCACAGAGATCCAGGCACAGAGGCACCACTAAGAGGTTAATAAAAATAGTGGATATTAATTATCTTACATAGATTATTGTTGAAATTACAAAGCAACAACATGAAATTCTCAAAATGTTCGCTGGAACATTTTATTGGCATCTCTTCCTCTCAAACATGCACAAGCACACACGCACGCACACACACACACACACACACACACACAGTTCTCTGTCTCCAAAACACCTCAGAAGCTGCAGGCAGTGTAGTTAGTACTTAGCCACTAAACATCTGTATGCAAGTTTACGTGCGTGTGCATGAGCATGTTTATGTTGTGTGAGGGTGTGTGCGTGTGTGTTTGCGGTCTCGAGGACAGCACAGTCCCAGGCAGTGTAATGTTTCAGATCAATCAGGCAGCCTGCCAGTCCTGTATAAATACACCAGGCTTCTATTTACATCGGTGACTTTCACACAGCGGGCCAAAGCACAGATCTATACACTGGAACGAGGACAGATAAATGGCTTATTCCTATCTGTATCATGTGCACATCAGCTAACAAGTCCAACAAAACTCCACAGTGTGATCAAGTATGGGTGGGTGTATACCGCATCACAGCAGAAAACAGATACCTACATTTTTTGTAGCTCTATATGTGCTACTCTGGCTTTACTCTTCGCTCTCTTCTCTCACTCACTCTTAATGACTTGCCAACCAGACACTTTTTCTGAAAGCCTTCCTTCCATCTTTCCTTGCACCACAGAGGTGAAACGAGGACAAGCATCCAATTAAAAGAATTGGATGCCTCAGTCTCTGCAGAAACAGTGTGTTGAGCTGAAGATGCCAAGAAAGAGGGTGATACTTGCTTCACAGTAACATGAAATGCTTACCGAAGAAAATAGAACCAGGCACCTCTGGAATCTGGAATCCCAGTACTTTAGCAATCTGTCTTTCTAACGTGAGACGACGTGATATACATCAACCTGCTTGCTAGGATAATGACAACATCTGTGTGCAATTTCAACATATTTTCTGAACCTGGTGTGGAATTTTAACGCTTCTATACAAGCTATAACTAGTTCAAGTAGAAATCAGTGTGGGAGAGTTGATGGACAAACACAACAGAATCATTACCGTCTTCCTCAAAACTTAATACTATTACCCTCATTAACCCAGGAAGAGTCAAAAACAGAGGATACAGAAATTCGATTACGCAAAGATTTCAGATTAGTGTTGTAGCAAGTGTTGTTAGAGGTGTATCGCAGACTTGTTTTTCTTGTATGCGAGTGTGTGTGTGTGTGTGTGTGTGTGTGTGTGTGTGTTGGGTTGGCCGGCCTGCTGACGTGAGCTTTCATGCATGAGGACCTTTTCTCATTACCCACTCTCCAAGCCCTTCTGTCAGCAAAGAGAGAGCACTATGTGTGTGTGTGTCAGTGTGTATGCGTGCAATTTCTCATAGCTTTGGCACAATCCCCACAGTGACCTGAAACATAGTTTAGTTTCACACTGAGCCAGACAGATGGACAGAGAGACAGACATATGGGCAATTTAACCACGACATTATTCCATGATATCATTGTATGGCTGCCATTTTGGAGGCCAAATAGCAGTGTAATGACAGATGTCAGCAAGCAATCAAAATCACATTAAGTGATCAGTATTTGTGGTGCTCCCCTGTAATGCTCTATAAAAATTGATAATCACTATATTTGATATAACAACTCTAACTTTGTCAAGTTTAAACTTCATTTAATCTTTGTTGGCTGTGTGAAATTAATCTAATTGACTACAAAGAGAGGTACCTTTGGATGCAGTTCCATAACTGGCCTTTTAATCTCAATTGCTCATGCCACTTCTAATGTGTGTTACTGCTCAGTAGTGAGGCAACAAGTGTGTTTGGGTGCTTTGGTGGCTTGATTAACAGGCATTACACCTGATTTAGTTGGCTGGCACATGCTCAATCCACCTCTCCAGTCATGTGGCCAAACATGTAAGTAATTACTTAACCATTGAAGAAAGGATACAGCGATCTTCAGAGAGAGAAGACTGGAGCACGCTGTTTGATTAGCAGCCTTTAAGTCTTTAATTTTGAGAACAGACCATGTGTTTCAACACCACTGTGTCTTTATCAGAGTCAAAGAGGACAAACGCATCAGGCAAACATATATATTCAACCTGGGTTAGGCGTACATTGGGGAGATGGTAGAACAAGAATTTAAACCTATTGGATAAAAGATACAAGGGCTGGCACCGCCAGAGCCAATGTGCTGATGCCACACCCAGATAACGGGTGTGCTGCACTCTTTTCTTTGCTACTTTGCATCTGATTCAGCTGGAAGATGTGTGGAGATTGTCACAGCAAATTTAATTTCCCAAATAGACAGCAAGTTCTCTGTCTTAAATTTTAAAGGGCTGGTTCACAATTTTTAAAGTCTGTCTCAAAACAATAGTCATATGAGCATTAAAACAGATTCACCATTCCTCCCGGACATTAAAACATTCTTTTGAAAGAGGTTTCAGTGTGAGTAATGGGCCAGGATAAAATCAACAGTCCTTAAAAGAAGCTGAAGCCAATATGAGCTGTAGCAAGGGAAAACACAAACATTTTGGAAGATATCTACTTCATTTGTCTAACTCAGATTTTGTCTTCCATCACTTATATGGGAAGCACTTTAGAAAAGGAATCTCTTAATGGCAGCATGAAGAAGAAGAATGATTACAGCAAGAAAAATCAGTTTCAAGTCTAATGTAGGCACCTGACTTGAAAAACTGCCGTCCTTTAATACTCGATTTTTATCCTGAGATCTTTCTCAAAGTGTCTCACCATCAAATATAATTCATTTAAATTTTTCCCTGCTGTGAGCAGCTCCTCTATTTCCTATCTGCATTGCATTGTGGGAGAATAGAGACCATCAACAGTACATTTAAAAATTTGGCCATATTGAGTATGCATACTGTCTGGGATTGGTAGAATTCATTATGTCACATTTCCTGTGTGAACAAACCACAAAGTCGAAACCTGCTTATAACTAGTATGTCATGAATTTGTCACACGTGTGCTTTGGGTTTTCAGTAACTAACAAAGAAGGTGAAGCACTAATCACTGAAGAGCAGTATTCATCACTTTATTGGTCAAGGATATCGTTTTATCCCTTGGATGGTGAGTAAAGAGCACCAGCCCTATTCTTCAAAACATCAGGATATTCCAGCGTGTTTGTTTGTTCAGCAATGCAGCTGCCTTTAAGGGGTGCACTGGGGAGGAAAATGATGTCCATTTCAACAGATATTAGCGTCAGCCTGCGAGCTAAAACAGCCACGCCAATTGGCCAGCTTATATGCAATTAAGTAATGACAACCACTCTTCAGTACCAGTCTGTGTCAGTCTGCGGGACCTGGTGTGAATCAAACCCTTCAAAAACACCCTCATACATCATACAGTATGCGTGATGTCACAGAGTCTGAGTCCAGATTTTTCTGCACTTTGTGACAAAGGCAGGTCAGTAAAGTAAAAAGGTAAATAAATTTAAAAAATTTATGTTTTTTTTTTTCTATCACAAAATGACCTTTACAATAAAGATTTATCAACAACAACAAAAAAAAAACTGGAATCAAGTTGAACTGAAATCAAGTTCCCCTAAAATGTAGAAGGAGCATCTTTTGTATGAAGGTGACTTTGTGGCTCTCCTGACAGCAGACGGACTGACAGACAAAAGCTTAAAGCTGTGGCATTTACATTTAATCTAATCTAAAGCTAAAGGATATTACTACTAAGTGAATTACAATACACAGCAGTACAGAAGGTC